TATGAATCACAGATATACAGCCAAATTCAGGCTTTGCTGATTTCAAATTAATTTTGATATGTACAACAATGTTATAATACCATGGAGGCATTTCCGACATGTGATGAATCTGTAAGTGCTGCATTTTGAGGGCTGCAGGGTAGAACATAGATATCCGTCTTCCACGCCAGGGTTTCGATGGGTACGTCTGTATAGAAAGAGAGCGAGAATAGAAAGACAAAGCAAAGTAGGTATAGTAAAATGTTACAATAAATAAACTAAATAATAAACAGATGAAGTCATAAATTGAATTTTGATATGAAATTAGAACGAATATCATTTTGAGTTATCCACATTAGGCCAGCATTTTGCTATGTGTCAAAAATCGAAAAGAAATGTGGAACTACAAGAAATATCAGAAATATATTCATCAAAACTAACCGATGGGTGCTTTGCACACTTCGCCATAAACAACGTTGATCAAAGGTTCAGATGTAACAAATTCAAACCGCAACCTCCATTTTAAGTGTACTGAAAAAGAATTTCAAGTAAATGATGATATATTACCAAATTTAAAGGCATACCAGTGTCTGTATGAAAAGTTGGAGGAGCATGCATCGGTATTGATAATCGAAATGAACTTTCGGATGCGTAAGCACAAACAACGTAGTCGTTAGAGTGTACAGCGACGTTTTCCTGAAGCTGGTAAGACTTTATATAGGACTTAAATTCAATAAAAAAGCATTTTCACACCATTCCTTCCGTTTTGACTTCGCCACGTTCTCCAACTACATCCTCGGCAAGCTGTTCTACAGTTTCTAGATGTACGGAATATTGAACACACGGGACTCCAGAATCTGCACCCAAAAATTTTTTGGAATACCAGCCCGAAATGAAACCGTACAACTTTACCTTCAAAACTGAGTATTCCCAAAACATCTTCTCCTAATCGAAAAGTCTTCTTGAAAAGCGTCATAGTCGCAACTTTACCTTTTGCATTTGTCATACTAAACATATACGCTCTTTTGGGAGCTGTTATCTCATCCACAGCAGCCATCATAGTCTAAAAATCGGATCATAATTAAAAGAGAGGAAGAAGAAAAATGGAAATAAAGTTCTCAAAAAATTCTAACAAAATCTGGATCATAGTGAAAAGAGCTCAAGAAGAAAAATTTTCAAAGTTTCAGGAAAAGAGTACCTGAGATATCGTTGCTGATGCCATATTTCCTATCAAAAATGGATTCTTTTCGACTTTTGGTACGTCGTCAACTCCTACCGCTGGGATAATCCTAGAAAGACACGCTTGTCACACTGATGGTAAAGTAATTCGAAAACGCTTACCTCACTGGTATATGCATAAGTTTAATAGGTGCTCGAACGTGTTGAACTGCTACAGTAATTCGATTGAGATACCTAACAAGGTGACCACGAAATGATGGAGGTAATTCATGCATGGGAAGTGGAATCTATGAGGTATAGAAGTAGAAAATAGGAAAAAAGGTAATTGCTAGTTACCTCGCAGCTGAACTGACGAGATTCCCCATGGTTTAGTTCAACGTCGCAGAACAACACGTTTGGCTTTGATGAATATACTGTAGAAGCGCTTCTTGATATGGCTGTTGTGGGTCGATCACGAAAAGCAACGTGAGCTCCCATAGTGCGCTCTAAAACGAGATATGCGTAGCATGCTGAGTTGTTATTTGTTAGTCACAATTTAAAAAGGATTAATGTAAAAGGTGGCATTATTATCGAAGAAACAAAGCCAAAAATTCTAAAGAAACAATAACACTGAAAACTAACACACTAAATAACCAAAAAACTAGGATCTACTTACCACAAGTCAACTGAACACTTCCCCATGCCAAGGATTCACGTCCCTTTGGAGCCAAGTTCTTCAGAGTCACCTAAAAATGACTGATATTGACACAAAATCTAGCGACCCCTCAAAATACTCGATGCCGAAATTGAGATCATTGGTGCAATTGCATCGAAAGTTAGTCATGGATTACAGTCGGGTAGAATTCTTCATTAATGTGTGCTATGGCACAATTTCCAAGGAGTGACACCATGGCGCCTGCCTTTCAATAAAGATCTGCTCAATGAAAAAAGCACTCAACAT